TCGGAGTGGTCGGCCTTTTGTTGTCACCGATGATTTGGTAAGGAAAGTTGATGAAGCAATTCATGAGAACAGACGCTTCACAATGACAACTCTTTCAGAGGAATTTCCACAAATTTCACGTACTGTTTTGTTCGAAATTGTGTCTGACCGCTTGAATTATCGCAAACCGTGTTCCCGATGGGTTTCAAAAATGCTCACTGATGTTCACAAAACAAAGCGACTTGGTAGTGCCCTGACATTTCTCACGCTGTACAGTGATGAGGGAGAAAACTTTTTAAATCAAATTGTGACAGGTGATGAAACTTGGTTGTGTCATTTCACACAAGAATCGAAACAACGTAGAAGAGTGGAGACACACTCATTCTACGAAAAAACAAAAGTTCAAAGTGACAATGTCATCACAAAAAATCATGTGCACTGTCTTCTGGGATAGGAAAGGCGTTTTGCTTACTGAATTTCTTCTAAGAGGTAAAACCATTAATGCGGCACAATATTGTGAGACTTTAACAAAACTAAGGCGTGCCATTCAAAACAAACGAAGAGGAAAGCTCAGTAAAGGAATTGTGTTGCTCCATGACAATACTCGGGCCCCATACTGCTGGTGTCACTCAATCGTTAATTCGACAGCATACTTGCCAACCTATGACACTCAAAAATCAGGAGATTTTTTTTAAGAAATCGGGAGATTTTTCACAATGTTAAAAAGACTTTAAATGATGAAAATATAGTTTTTAATAATGAATTAATTTTAAATAGTAACTAATTCTTAAATGCAAGCAACACAAAAATACCTTACACATAAAAAACATTTTTATTACTTGCATCGTTTAAAAAAACGAAAAAAAAAAAAAAACTTTAACCAGTTTTCGTACAAATGTTATAAACAGTGGCAGATTTAGCTTTCTTTAAGAAAGAAACGTCATAATTTTGTTCATAGCAATTGCCACGTAGGCCTGCTTTCGCTAATAAAAGTTTTTTTTTAATGTGTCATCACGAATATTAGATCTAAATTTAGTCCTCGTTTTCGTAACAACACTGAAACTCCTCTCACACTCTGCATTACTATGGGGAACTGCTGTCAAGATCGCCAACATAATTCTAGACAGTTCACTATATTTCAAAATTTCATCAGCATCTTTCAGTTTTTCTAATTAAACTCCACTGGGTGTCAATCTTAGCTGATTTTTATAACTTCATCCAAGTTCTCTAATTGTAAACTGCTGTTATGCAGCTGTTGGAACTCTTTCAATTTTTCCTTCTTTTTAGAACTCCTTTCAAGATAATAAAATATCAACAATGTTGTCATCCACATTTATTGATAAAGAAGCTGCCCTTTTTTCAGCTGCTAAATTTAAGGGGCGACAGGTGCACCTCATAATCTGCAAATCTGAATTTTTCCTAAGATGCCTGCAACACCAGTATTCAAGCCTACCAATACTGGGTGTATTATCAGCACCAAGTGCTAAGCAATTATACAGAGGGACTACATTTTCTTTTAAAGTTTTAATAATTAGCTGTGGTATATTAAAGCCTGTCAAATGTCCTTCTAAAGTGGGGACAGAAAGTAAACTGCACTCAATTTCTGAAGACTCTGGATTATAAAAAGAAACAACAATTGGATACAGTTTTGAATTGGCATTATTGCTTCCATCCATAGAGAGGCAGAATGGAGCTGTTTTATTGCAATCAATAACTGATGATTTATTTTTCAAACCCATTTCTTTAACAATTGCACCTGTTTTGGTTCTTGCACTTGAATATTTCTTAGGGATCTCACTATCGGGAAACATTTTTCTAAATAAAGCTGCAGCGTGATCCGATGCATTCAGTGGCAGGTTGTACTCCTGCAAAAAGGCAGAGAACAGACATTCTGCATTAATAACTTTTTGGTCCTCTGTTTCTGAAGAAAAATTTAATTTTCCGTTCTTTTTTTTTTTTTTTTCAAAACAACTCATGTTATCCTTGTGTTTTTGTGTATGCAGATGTTTGAGAACGCAGATTTTATTTGTTTCAATAGACTAATTTGAAAATTTAAATGGCCATAAGTTATAAACACAAACTTTGATAACTATGTAATACTAGAAGCCAGTTAACATTTATTATGGAAGAGCCTCTACGTATAATTGTATTTAAGCATCCCACAGCTATCAGCAAGTTCTCATGCTGATTTGCATTACAGAGGATTTGCCCATTTTTATCAAAGTTTATTTTATTGTTGTTCTGAATTTTTCTATGCATTAAGTTCTTAATTCCATTTTATATTGCTTTACAGTTTAAATGCAGATTTTTTGTAAGTGTTAAATAATTAATTTTAATTCAAATTTCATGAATCTGTAAAAGAAAATGTTGGTTATATTTTGACAACAACAATTTTTACCGAAGATTTTCAAGCCAAGGATTGCAAAATATGATTATGACACTCAAGTAAATATTCCAAGAACTGTGAACTTTTACGCTTATTTTTTGAAAAAATTAGGACTTTTTTTAAAACAGAAAAATGAGCTTGTAGACTTTCAAAATTTCAGTAGCATTTTTAGTTTGCATTTCTTGTTCAAAATGATGTCTACAAGATTTTGCTATTTTAAAACATTTAGATTAAAATTTTATGATTATTTTTTTAAAATTGTATTTCCCTTGTTTCACTACTATTTTAATGCTTTCTTCTAAAAAGAGTTTTCTGTAGTTAAGTCTTTTGCTCTTTGAAAGGGGGGGATATGCAAGATTAAAAAAAAAAAAAAAAAAAAAAAAAAAAAAAAAAAATTATAATTTAAAATGCCTCTTAAATGCTCATTTTTAATTTGGGTACTTTTTTCCTAGTAATAACTTTCTCTAAACTGTGTCATATCTGAAAACATATTCCACATTATGTCATCTAGAAACTTCTGCATTGCCTATAAGTTTTAGCCAACCAGATTAACGAAAAATTTTACTATAAATATTGTTGCAATCCAACTACCCTGCCTCTTTCTCTGCCTGTGCTTGCTGGCTGAAAGATGTCTTTTGCTTGGCTGCTTTTGTTCAAAATGTAATGCACCATCATCAAAATTGTGGGGTGCAGACTGGCCCCCATTATGAAATGCAACAAGTAATAAAGATATATCTGGAATATCAAGTGATTTTGTGATTCTTCAAAAGTTCCCGGCATCTTCTGCTATGTAATTGATATTTTCAGTGATCTTCTAATTGTCAATCCACTCGAGAATGCAAAATAATGTCTTCCCTAGTCAAGCATTCATCTTTCATCAATTTACTGCATTTTACTTAAATCTTATCATCACATATATGCATACAGACATATTTAAGTACTTGATTTAAGTAAATCTACGTAACTTTAGCATTTGATTTTAACAGTTTTTAGAATTACATTATTTTGTTTAACTAGTCATTATATATATAGAGAGAGAGTAGTAATTTTTATTTAATGGCAAAGTGATTTTTTTTTTTGCTGATTGTTCATACACTTCTTTACTAAATGAAAAAAGCTAAAAATCTTAAAATTTTATTCTTCAACCCATAGAATAGAGTGGAAAAATTTTTTACACATTAAACTGTCGGGAATTTCCGAACTTTAGACCACTAGTTTAAATCTAGTAAGATGACTTGTTGAAATTATAAAATTAAAAACAAGAAACAGTTATTTGTGAAATAATAAAGCATTTATGATCTTAAAAAAAATCAAAATTTACCAAAAATAAAGCTTAATATTTGTTTGTTTTATTAAACATTTCTTTCAATATTTAAGGTTTTTCACTTTTTGTGCTAATACTTTAATTTTACAAATAGACATAATTTCTGGTTCAGTTAAAAAGTTCTATTGTTCAAGTCCTGTAATTGTCATGGTGAGAATTCCTAATACATTGCCAGCTGAAATCTTTTGTCACTTTCAAACAGTAGTGACAGCCTGTGGATTTAAAACCATACCATAAAATTCTTTTCCATATAAAGAGGAATTTAAATTTGATTTTGATGAAATACCTGTAATAATAACAGCCTAAAAAAAATAATAGGCCATATGAAAGCAAAAAGTTAAGGATAAGTACTATTTACTAAGTTAACTAAACTTCAGAATCTAATTCTTTCTCTCTTCCCCACAGCTATTTCCCACATCCCGCTTCAAATAATTATATCTTGGGGCTTCACTTATTGTTTAGGTCAGATAGAATAATGTTAACCTCCTAATGGGGTCGTTGCAACAGTTGGTGCAGCCATACTCGGCCCACTGATTTAGATGCAGCAAAATTTTTAGAATTTAGAGGAACATCAAACAGCGAAAATTAAGGAAGGTAATTTTTTCTTTTTTTTAATTTAAGAGAGGCATTGGAAAAAGCACTTAGAACACAAAGAGATAATACTGGGTGGCAAAATTCTTGCCTCTCCCTACAACCAGTCAAAGGCTGAAAGCATAATCTTGGTCCACATCAATACAATGCCTATATGTATTGTTATTGGCTAGTGTGCCTCTGTAGCCAACAGGTGTTTGAAAGTGACATGCAGAATCTCAGTTAGACAAGAGAAAAAAATCAAATTTGCCATACACCTGTTTACCTTTGTTGGGTATTACATTATTTATTCCTATAATCTGTATTTTGTATTTTTTTTTAAATCATTAAATTGATTTACATTTTGGCTGGTGGTCTGGATTTGTGATTTTGTACTACATTTCTTTTACATTTTGTTTTCATAATTCCTTATTAATCAAGATGATATTTAGGTCATTGAAGACAACAAAGTATTTCAAATAACACGGTAAAGTATACCAAGTGACAACAAATCTTACGACCGAAAGCAGTTTCAATTAAGAGTGGTTGGTTCCCAGAAGCTTTAAAATTCTTGAACTACACAAACCTTTGTTATTTATTTTAATAACATAGGAATCAATTATCTAACAAGTATATTACTAACTCTATTCTTGTTTCACAAATAATAAAAATATCACAATTAAAGAAAAAAATCAAAATGAAATCGCATAAAAAATTTGACATGACAACAGTCATACATACCGGTAAATCTTTTAAAACATTATCATTGGTTGTGTGAATAAGAGTTTGATCAAGATCAACCAAAAGGACAAGTTTTCGGTTTTTCAGTAAGCGGTCTTCATCATCTTGTCCTAGTTTCTCAGCTTGCTATATTAAAATATTTAAAAACATAATATGTAAATACAAGTATTTTTGTAAATGTTACACTACAATAAAAGTTTAAAAATGTAATACCTCAAGGCTGACTTTTAATTCAGGAACAACATGTACCATACTAAAAGTAGTAGATGCAGTAAGTTTGGCAAAATTATCCTTATCTAGCCTAGAACATATGAAAACACAATTGAATTAATATTGTGCAACTCAAAATATACTACCATAAGAAAGAATAAAATGACATTTTTAAGGGCGGGGAAAGTAAAATTTCACTGAAGTTAAATACGAGAACACAGAGGTTGATGACATACTTTTTGAACAATTTTGATGAAACTATGAAGAGATCTATAACATTCCAAAAGAATTATTTGACAGTAGCTTATCTTTAACTATTATCTGATTGGAAAATAATACATATTAAAAAAGTTTTAATTGTTATGAAGGGGGATAAGTTGTTCTTTTAAAGAAAAATATCTTATTGTATTAGAAAAAAAAAAAAAAAAAAAAAATAATATATATCTATATATATATATATATATATATATATATATTAAGACATAAGTCATAGAATTAACATACCTAAATGTAAAATAATAGTCCATTAAAGATAAAAAAATGCCAAGCATTGCTTTAATGCAGGGAAGAAAAACAAAAGCTATGAACTATCTGAAGGAGATAAGTGGTTAATTAAAAATACATTAAGAAAGTACAATCATAGTAACAAAAAGTATTTGGTAAAGAACTGAAAATCATTCATATTACGAAGAAAATGGAATTTATGTGCAAGAGAATTCCCACTGCAAATACTTCTTTTCAGAAGATATTGCTAAAATTTCACTGTAGCATTGGCATGTTAAAATTAGATACAGTTTTAGATGCTCACAAAGTTTCTGCTGTAACTCAGCACTGTATTCTGTTTTGGCGATGACACACCAAACCAGAAGTATAAACAATTGCAAAAATAAGACAATACATTTCCATAAAGTGAATATCTCATTTTGAATGAAATTATTCTTTCCATAAATTTAAGAAACATGAGCTAAAGAAATAATAATATAAAAAAAAAAGTAATAATTGCCGATTTATCATTTGCGCCGTCTAACGGAACAGTGCCTACTTATTTTGCGAGATTAACGAATCCATATATAAGCCAAACTATTGATTCCCCAGCCTTTCATGAACAGTTGTGAGTACTTTTACAAATGTAAGGTACTGCGAAAGGTATTGACATTTTAAAGAAAGTTCAAAAATGGAAATGTTTTTGATTTGAAGAAAAAAATTTTTTCTGTCACAACTGATGGAGCTCTAGCAATGTTAGGAAAATATGCTGGCTTTGTAAACTATTGAAGAAGGAACTTGGAAGACCACTCCTTTCATTTCACTGTATAATTCATGAAGAAAATTTATGTGCAAAAGTCTCTTCCAAACAGTTAGTGATAAGTATAGTGATTAATATTACTAATACAATTAGAGCTCGTTCTGCCTTGCATGGCAAAAAATTTAAGACATTTTTAGAAGAAATTGAATGTGAATTTTGCGATTTATTAACCCTCTGAGCGGCCAGTGTTTTCGTTAAGAAAGCACAAATTTTCCAAAACTACTATGAGAACAAATTATTTTTTTGATTTTAATGTAAAAACTTTCCTGGTATTTCAAAGCTGGGTTTGTTTTCTTTTGATACATTTCCTTAATTTCTTTGACATATTTTAATATGCACGTATATATATGTTCTTACAGATATCACAAAAAATATTCTAGGCCGTATATATACGGCCTTGCCGCTTAGAGGGTTAATGCATACTGAAGTTCGCGGTTAAGCAAAGAAAAGGTTGAAAAGTTGTTCAGTGATTTTCAAAACAAAAAAGAATCCTAGAATAAATTAGGAGAAATACCTTTGTCTGTCAAATCGTAGAATATCATGCTATAGATAGGTCAAAAGATACACCATGTCAGCTAGAAAAAGATTTATTGAGTAGTCAAGTTGTTAGTTTGTCTGTGGATGAAAGTACTGACATAAATAATGTTGCAAGGCTTGCAGTAGTTGCTCATTATGGAGCTAATGATTCTCCAGTTATTCATGAACAGTTGTGTGTACTTTCACAAATGTTAGACATTATGAAAAATATTGAAATTTTAAAGAAAGTTTAAGAATTCATTAAATTCGAAAATGGAAATGTTTCCGATTTGAAGAAAAAATTATTTTCTGTCACAACTGATGGGGCTCCTGCAACGTTAGGAAAACGTGCTGACTTTGTAAACCTACAGCAGAAGAAACTTGGAAGACTACCACTTTCATTCCAGTGTATAATTCATGAAGAAAATTTATGTGCAAATTTAACTTCGAAATGGTTAAATGAAGTGATGAGCATAGTGATTAAAATTACAGTATTTGACAGCATATAAGACGCACCCTTTTTTAGAAGGCCACACACAAGGGAAAAAAGTTTCAATAGTCCGCGCGACAGCGTGGTACTACAATAACTTAAAATGTGGTTTCTTTTAGTTCTCACGTTTCGTAAAAGCCAAATAAACAATCATTGAATGCATACCAAACATATTTTATTAAGGAAAATTAACAACGGCAAGCTATTTGAACATGATATGTAAATTCAATAATGAAAAAATGAAGTGGCAAGCAATCAAACATAATACAAAATAAAGCAGAAACAACAAAAACCAGATTCAAGGAAACGTTGCATTCATGAAATTAGGTGTGGTGATGTATTTATTATGGCAAAGCACACGGGCTATATGCCAAGGGGGGATGCTTTGGGATGTTCTAAGGGACTGGCGTATACACGTTACACTGGGGAAATACACGTTACCACGAACCGAACCAGTGTCAGCGACTTTACCACTCGCGCTGTGGGCATCATGAATTAGGCTTTACCACTTTCAAAAACCCAATCCTGAAACGAGAAATCACTAAAAACGAGAATATCGTCATCATTACTGGCTTCCGTCCGCTAGTATCCCTTTGAAATGCATTGTCTTCTGTTCCGTCAAGAACATTTGATTCTGCACTTCTAAGGACTTAACATACTTCAGCCTTTGCGTCCTCCCAAATCTTTTACCCACTCGCACACTTGTGAATAGAGGGCCGCTTCATTCTACCTGGGTGTGAGGGCGTGATGTGTCTCTCCTATCCACTTGTTCTATCATTCTTCACCTTTTTTAAATGGCTTATCCGATTCATCTAAAGGCTCAATGGCTACCAGTCCCAGGAATGACAGCTATCTGGGTTTTTATTCTTTGCTTTATTCTTTATGGTTCAGTTCTATGGGCACTAAACTGATCCAAACCCAAAGAGAGTTTTCTAAGAGTCCCCAGGTCGCCTTGCCCAAATTCTGTAACCACAGTTCATCCACTTCGTCCAGCCTTTGGATGAACATGACAATCAACCCCGTGGAAGTTTTTCTTCGGATGAGTTTTTCTTTTGAATATCAAAAGCGGCGGTAGTTTTGTGCCACCAGCACAACCTGTTAGAACTACTATATCGGTTTTTTTTCATGACCTGTGGTTTTTATGGTTACTTATTTAACCCTTTATGCCGACAGTCTGTTGGAGTATATCAAATGTGAGTGGAATTTCATCCATATTCCCTATTTGACCGAGCCAAAAGGTTTTCTGCTGCATTATAACAACTGAAATGCTAGTATTTTTCTTCATAATTCTGCCATTTGTCAATAGTTGTTTTTGTGCGCATTTAACCTCGCTTTTCATGAAAAGTCACCACCCTCAACCCTAAAAAGGTTCCCAGTTTTCTGCGCAATCCTTGCCCTCATTGATTATATTTGTTGAAACACATTACTATGCCAGAGTTTCTTGTCACAAGACGCTCTCCTTACAATCGAAATGCGGAAATTCTTAAAAAATTTGGCTATCCAGTCAAAAGTCGTTAAAGACCGTCGGACTTCGGCGATTCCGATTATCGGTTTTTCGGATTATACAACATCATTTTAAATCTGGGAGATGGCATGTAGCATATAAAGTTAAAATGAAACCATAATTTTGAATACAAATTTCAAAAAAAAGCTTAACTTTGTTTCTTTAAAACCTTTCTTTCATGCGCACTGAAAGGCCTCATTACGCATAGTCGAAATTAGAATGAAACCAGAAAACTATTTGATGTGTATTCGTGATATTTAAGACGAGGAATTGATTTAAATCATATCAAAGACGGAGTCATGAGATGAACTACTTTTCGGAATTAGCCAATAAAATAAAACATCTGCCTGAAGATAAAGATGCTGACAGATCAACTTTCAGTCATTGCACGCCGCAACATCTCTCCCCAGAGCAGCGTAATTGATAAACAGATTCGGAAGGTTGACAAACAAAGGATTGCTTTATCCATTTTTGCAGCATTCATTTTTTGTTTGATGGACATTGAAAACAGGTTTTCGCTTGTAGATCCGTTGGCACAAGACGAAATTCTTTTTGACATATTGAAAGTTCAAGCTTCTTTTATAAATTGCTCTACGTCTGCAAAAATATAAGCCGGATCCAATCGAGATTAAGGAACAACGCAATCTGCAACATTATGAAAAGATAATTAGAATTTTAGCTTAGCTTACCATCCGTTAACCTACCATGGCAGAAAGTTTGTAGCTTGAGTCCGGATTATAATATTCCGGATTAAGGCTGGACTGTATTATATTCTAGACCGTACATTGACATATAAGATCATTTATTAGAAGCTATTTTAAGATCACTTTATTAAAGTTGTACACATGATTTGGTGACATTCTATAGCTGACTTTTTGCAACAGAGCTAGAAGTAAATGATGATTCTAATCTGGTAGCATGATAGTTCCATTCCAGACTGGTGAGTGATGGAGTGTTTTATCTGAAATTTATCATGAGCAAATTAAATAAATAATGTGAATTTATTTACAAAAGCAGCAACTGCTATGGATTCTAAAAAGTTCTACATAACTGTTTACAGTACTCAAGAAGAATAAGTATTGTGCTCATATTATAAAACTGAGATACGTAATTTTTGCAACTACATGTTTCTAAGTTTAGTTTTTGGTATGAAAAAAATATCTGACGTGGACACCACGACTTCTTCGTACAGCCTATTAAATTATACACATTCGTTTGTTGCACTTCATTTAAACTTATTTCCTCAAAATTCATTAGATATACATATTTCTCATTCAA